CCATCACACTGCAAAGATGAAGTGATTCTTGTGACTTTTGAAATAATCTAATAAAAATGATGGTATTTAGGGGTTGCTGGGGAGGTATTGCCCTTCAAGCGGACGTACGGAAATTGTGCTATTTGTGTATCAATGAACCGGCCGAACGGTGTAGATAAACGCTAGGCACCCAGGACAAAAAACGCCGAATCTGTGGCCGCGAAGGCACCTCGTTTTCACTCGCTGACAGTAGCACCGACCATAAGCTTCCGCAGGCCGCTAAATGTGTACTAACTTGGGAACTTCAAACCTTTTCGGTGGTGTCGGTGCCTCAACTACTCTAACTATGCTGCCTGGCAAAAGTAGTTTAAGTAGTAGATCTAACGTACCCCCACTCCTTTTTTTGTCTTAAAGAACCGGTACCAATAGGGGTTTTATGGCTGGGGAATAAAGATAGTCAGTGAAGGAAAGTTGTAGAAGTAATGCTATAGTGGTAAGCCACATTAGCTTGGTGGTTTTAATCAGTGTGGCACCGTCGACGCTGTGCAGAATTATGCGGGAATACTGGAATGATAAAATATAACTTAATGACTACTATATGCATTTTAGCTATTAACCCCACTGGCTCCTGACCCAGCACAAATTCACGCGTGGCTATTTATTGAAATAAGTCTTATTGATTAAATGCTGTTTTTGACTAATTTTTTCGATGTACGTGCTCTAAACCGCTGCTATGTAGCGGCCGCGGTAAACAAATGCAGACATATCTTGCCAATTTACTCTTACTTCTGCAAATGTCCTTCAGCGCCTATCCTATTTTCCCACTAACAAAACTCCTATTAACACCGGTTCCCTACAATAGAATGCTGGGATCTATAAGGCCCACTCCTTCGTCAGGTGTGGATGCGTTGACCTGTAGTGTTATGTATTAGAAATCGCCAGCCACGCATGCTCCAACTCCACATAAATATTTATTCGTGATGACTTGGGAATGTGACTGTGCGTCGATTATCTTTTCAGTGTGTGTGTGTTCCTATTCCATTAACGCAGGCACTCAGGGCCTACGGGGTAAAATTGCTCACCATTCGTAATGCGCGTTTCTGTTTCTAGCTGCAACATTATATCTTTCTTGCTATTTTTGGATGGTCTTAGTGAGTATGATTACTAGCATGAGTACTTAAGCATAAGCACGTACTTATAGCAGCAGTATCCTAGTCTTTGTAGTCAAAACCTAGCAGAAACGGACACAGTCTGGTGGATAGGTTCGAGAGGGCAGAAACCAGTGCAAGCCGCGATGTGCTCCGGGCTTCAAACATGTATTTACTCGGAATAGCATAAACCCCGATTTCACACTCTGCTGACATCAGGAGGGTTTGAGCTCCAGCGTTGATTTCAAGTCAGCGTCACTCCTGACTAATACAGTAGTCGCCGGCTATTAAGCCCACCTCGGGCCCAGGCCAAATTGGGC